TAACATACGAGTTATAACATATAATATTACACCAAAATAACATATCGTACTTAGATCCAACATATAATGAAAATTCACACACACTTATATAACATAAATATTCAAATGTTCAACTTAGGATTCCAAAGATTGAGTTGGGCGAAAAGAACAATCGGAAAATAGGCGCATTTCGCAAATCAAAGGAAACACAATTTGACCTCTAACCCGGTACCTTATAGCGGTCGGCCCGGCGGGTGCGGCCGCCCGTTTTTCTCATCGGGTCAGGGTCAAACTGGGTCGACCCGCGGGTTGACAACCTTGATTTTAACGGAAGATTTCTCTTTCGTTTTAAGTTCGAATTTAAATTTTTTTGCGCAGATAAATCAGATTAATTGTGCTCTTCAAAATGATACCCACTTCAATATATTTTTTGAACAAAAAAATTGAGGCATTTTTTTACGAGTCTATACCATGGTGGTATTGATTGGTATTAAAATAAAAGCATACCATGGTGGTATGAACATATCAAACTGTAAGATAGTTGAATACACGATAATAGGAGTATACTAACTTTCATTTATGACTTTCAATATTGTGTACCACAAGATACCACCCCCCATACCAGGGTGGTATTGTATAGTATTTTTAGTACTGTATTTTGTTCACCCAGAAATTTGTATATCCAATAGATCATGATGAACTCCTTCCTTCCTCAAAACGACTTAAAAATGAAGAAAATACCATATGGTATGGAGTTGGTAATGAAACGTATGAAAAAAAATTTCAAAAAAAAATAATGAAAATGGATCTCATTTTGTGGAGCACAACGTTCCATCTGTGCAAAAATATTGAAATTCAAGTTAGAACGAAGAAGATATTATCCGATTAAGAAAAATAGGGGAAATAAAATGTCTTTAATTCTCAACTCTTAGATCTGCAACACACTTAGAAGAAATGGTCCAAATTTGATTACACATGTTAAGCGCCCTAAGGTTACTCACCCTATCTTTAGTCCGTTTAGGCACCGAGTAGTCAAATGTTAGACCCTTTGATGGGGTTGGCATAATCAGTCTACCCTCATAAAATCTGGATAAGTGTAACCCAAAGTCCTTGAAGCTATTTTTCTCTTTTTTATTGAATTGGTTCCTCCAAGAAAACCTATATAGTGGTGAAAATGAGGTGAAATTTTGAATGATTAAATTTTACTTTTTTATTAATTTGTTAATTGTCACGTCACATATTTAACGGTCAACTATAAGAATTGACTGCCATATCCGATAAGGTTAGCAAAATTGGACGAAGAGTGACCAAATTTGAACTATTGAACTAATTTTAATGATCGAGAATGGAATTAAATATTTTTAGTGACCAATCTTGCAATTTACCCTTTAATATATTCACAATTTCTATTCCATAGTAGTATTATGATTTATGTGCGTTCTTTATCATGGCGACTTGTATTCGAAATGAAAAGAACATATATTTAATAATCCACACACCTATCCAGCCAACAACCCTAAGCTACAAATCGAAAAAGACACTCATTCGACAAATTAGAGACTAAAGAGGCACGCCGCAAGAGACGATGATAGAGAAAGACCTGACTTCGTAACTCCAAATATGTGCTACAAGATCTTTACTCGAGGAATCGGAGAAAGTAGCGATGGGAACTTCATCTATGAGAGAGAGAGAGAGAGAGAGAGAGAGAGATAGTCAGTCTATTTTCGAGCTCCCTTGCTCTCTAGTCCATCGCATGGATGTGGTTTTCCACCACATATGGGTTGGCCGAGGACATGCATCCTCACAAAAGACGAGTTAAGAGTCTCCGACGTTTCTGCATGGTGCTTTCCACGTGCTCTATCTCGTTTCCAACTTCAGCAATCCTTTGCAAAACAACCTTAATAGGAGGAGCCATAGTTGATAAACACAAACCGCGTTAAGAAATAATTTTTTATTTTATTGTAGAGCATGAACGCTTAGCAAGCCTTCATTTATAAAGTGGTAGAGTCGCCATGCAGTACAAATTGTATAGCTAACACAATTCTCATTCTTATTAGTTCTTCTAACAACTTTTCTGCAGCGCAATTGAATCATGCCTTCTAAATGAAAACAGGCTGGCTCTAGTTACCTTGATGAGCAAACCAAATCTCCCCAAATCACACTGTTTGTATGAACAAACAAACTTTGTACGACCAGCTTACGTGAAAAAGTTACATATGTTATGCCAATAAACTTGTGAAATTCATGTACTGATTCATCATATGAGCCACGTTAATAAAACCCAAACTTGCATGGACCATCAAAGAAAGTCCTACAAATGAAGACGACTCGGGCTTGTCAAGACTGCTTTCTTCGAGGAAAGCTTATAGAAGGGCCAAAACACAACAAGCCCATGCAAGACGTACAAGACGGATCTCATCCACTGGCATTTAGGCTAGCCCGGGATCCAGGTTACCGCTTCTTGTGACTACCTAGAGTAGATGCTACCTTTTGACCTTTTATATCGTATGGTTTTGTTGGGGACTTGTCTTTCCTTGGAGCCTTAGTCCTGTAGTCATGAATATAAGAGTTTTAGGAATAGTAACTTGTATTATTATGAAACCACAAAGGGGTTTATATAGATTACAAGACTTGGACAATAAGTAAGAGAATCACAATACTAGAACGACATGAAAATACTAAGAACTATACTAGAAAGACAAGGAAATATAAGAATATTCCTAATCTATCTCTAACACGCCCCCGCAAGATGATGGTGTGAAGAACAACATCAATCTTGACCAAAATACGTCAAACTTGAAGAACACGCCCCCGCAATGTGATGGTGTAGAGTGTGATGCAAACTCGTCGAACTCTTATGCTTGAAGAACGAAGCCAACTAACCGTCGTCTTGGAGAGGAAGAAATCATCAAACTGGCAATTCATATGTTGCAACAAAACTCACTCGTCGTCAAAAATTGACTTGAAACGAGATGGACAATAATCAAATGGTTTTGACGAGACCAATAAATGTAAACTGGTGGAGGACACGAAGAATTCATCCTAATGACTGTGGTCGGAGAAACTTCCTTTGTTCAATACACACAAAGGAGAGATGGCTGGAGATTGACTGTGGACTCCATACCATACAAACTCTTGAGCAATCAGCTGTAAAAGTCGGAGCTTCATCTTCGAAGTAAGGCATCAGTGATCGAGCTTCATAGCACAAAAATTTAGCAGAGTCAAAGACAATGGAAATTGCTATGATCATAGTGATGAAAGACAGATTTGGGGAAACGGCAACTGGAGGCTTGAAGTGTTATGGCTGGGGTCGCGGGCAGGAAACAATTAGGAAGGGATTTGTTTTTATTTGAATTAGACAAAAGCCCATCAAAAAAGAAAATGGGAACAATAATAATATAATAAAGCATCGAGAAGGCAACTGGGAAAAACATGAAACGGCGATTGAGCGATGCAGGGGGTGGAATCTGCTTAAAGGACAAGCGGACCAGGTGAGTTCGGACTCATGGCCGGGACAAGAAAAAAAAAAGTTTAGGGTAACTGGATCAATGTTGTTAAGTTAAAGGCTCTGATACCATATCATAAACCAGTTGGTCTCAATAATTTGAGTTGTTGAGAGAAGGTTATGTTGGATCTTATACAGGCCCATGTATGGTACTTAACCACTTCTTTACACGCCCCCTCAAACGAAAGTCGACTCATGGGCTTGAAGTTTGCACAGGCCCGACATACCATGTGCTTGAAAGACAACAGTTAATATTGGGGGTCGTGAGGACTTGAACACGTGACCTCAAGGACAAACCAGCTTTGATACCATATAGGAGTTTTAAGAATAGTAACTTGTGTTATTATAAAACCACAAAGGGGTTTGTATAGATTACAAGACTTGGACAATAAGTAAGAGAACCACAATACTAGAAGGACACGAAAATACTAAGAACTATACTAGAAGGACAAGGAAATATAAGATTATTCCTAATCTATCTCTAACAATGAAAAGTTTGTTACTAGAACTAGATTCTGCGACTAAGAGATGGACAAGTGAAGATAGTATCTTATCTAGAGGTGACGATTCCCAATTCAATCCATCAATCCAATCTAATTCATTTATTTCGATATCCAATTAATTCAATCAATTTAAATCCAATTCATTTAATCCAAATCCAATTGGATTGGTGGATTCATGGATTATTGTACAAATTATAATTTAGTACCTATAGTTTTTATAGTTTACAATTTGGTACCTAAAATGTCATTGAAAAATAAATTTTGGTACCTAATTTTTATTATTATGACATTTTAGTTCCCAAACTATTCAAAAGTTACATATTGATCCAAGGCTTGTATGTCATTTGGATTCATGGATCAATCCACCAATACATTTGATCCACTTAGAAGGACATCAACTTTTGATCTCCCTGCATTCCTTTCGGTTGATGATTTGAATTGTGATATTCAAATTTTATAAAATTTTGGGGAAAGAGAATAGTGAATTCTTCGCCGACGAAGAAGAAAAGAGAGGAGTTGAGTTCATCCGATTTATCGAGCAACCGACCAAGCTTTTTTCCTCTCTTAATTGAGCCACTCCACTTCTGTCATCGGATCAGCAGCCCATCAATCCATTTGAATCGAGAGTATGTTGATGCTTCCCCGTTCAGCATAGTAACTCGATTGACACCAACCGCGATGGAGTAAGCGATAAAGAGTAAAACTACCTATATAAGAATTGCAATAGCATAGACAAAGCAACTAGTTAAACCAACACAACGTAAATCTTATGCTGTTGTGTGTTGTCAAAACGTTAATATCATTACACAAAACAAAAGTGTTTGGCTATCGTTTGTTTCTCACCAATTTCGTTAATAACACGGAAAACTAATTATAGTTAAACGAAGTCGCTCACCAGCTTAATCAAAGTTCAGATGGAAAATTCAAAAGGCCCGACAAAAACGTCGTCGTAACAACGAAGGCAGCCCAGCGTCAAAAAACAATATAAAATAAAACTCCCGCCAAGCCAATAACCCACACTCATCCACGTGTCAACTCAAAGGCCCCACCGGCGGAAAATCGAACCACCGCACAAAAAAAGATACGATCCGCTTTTCCTCCTCTCTCACCGCGCTGTTTTATACCGTAATTTCTCACCGCCACCGCCCACCACCACACTCTATAATTACGCCACCACCACTCCCTCCCGCCTTTTCAGTTTCTCATTCCACTCTTTCTCTCTCTCTCTCTCTCTGGCTTTCGTCTTGCTTTCCTCTCTCCGTTTCCTCCGCAATTCCGGTGTTCCTTCTCCGCCGGCTAGGAGCATGCCGATTAATTCCGTCGGAGAGCTCTGATTCTTTCCTTCCCCGGCTGGCTCGCTTCGATTCGTTTCGGAATCGGAAAAGTCCGATTCCAGTGAATTCGGATCTGGTGATACAGCGATGTCCAGTCCATTGGAGCGCATCGCCGGGCCTTGTGAGTTCATTTAGACACATAATTCTCTATGTTTTGGATTTTGAATTTAGGAGGAATTTTTTTCTTCTTCTTTCGGAATGTGAAACTTCTAGGGTTTTCTGGTAGGCTTCGATGGAACGTCGGGGAACGACGAAAGGAGAGAGTGGAGATCGGACTGGGAGAACTCGGAGGAGGAGAGGAAGACGAGGATGGGGAGTTTGAAGAAGAAGGCGATCAAGGCGTCGAGCAAATTCAGGCATTCTCTCAAGAAGAAGAAGAAGAGCAATAAGAAAGGGCGCCGCCATGGCGAAGAAGGAGGCGCTTCCTACTCCAACGCTGCGGTGATTGAGGATGTCTGGAGAGCCGACGAGCTCAAATTAGTGGAATCCTTCAGGCAGATTCTCGCCGCCGATGATTTGCTTCCTGCTAAGCTCGACGATCGCCATACGTTGCTCAGGTTGCTTGCTTTGTCTCGTTCTGTTAGTTGTCCTCCTTGCCCTACTGAAATTCCTAGATTGCATCTTCAATTGTTTGCTTCTCTTTTAGATTTCTTAAAGCAAGGAAGTTTGATGTTGAGAAAGCCAAGCAAATGTGGAGCAATATGATAGAGTGGAGGAAAGAGTTCGGCACTGACACTATTATTGAGGTAAGACATTAAAGATACTCATCTCATTTTCCATTAACTGTTCTGAATTCAAGTTGATTAGATTTCATCCATTAGAAGGATTGCCGTGGAATTTATGACGGAGTGTTTAGCTATTTGGTTTCTTGGGTTTCATGAAACGGGGATATCCGATATCGCAGGATTTTGAGTACAACGAATTGGACCAAGTATTGGAGTACTATCCACAGGGTTACCATGGAGTGGATAAGGATGGGAGGCCTATCTACATTGAGAGGCTCGGAAAAGTGGAACCCAGTAAACTAATGGAGGTCACCAGTCTAGAACGATATGTGAGATACCATGTGATGGAGTTTGAGAAGACTTTAAAAATCAAGTTTCCAGCCTGCTCGGTTGCTGCGAAGAGGCGCATTCAGTCGAGCACAGCTATCTTGGATGTCCAAGGGGTGGTATGTTCATAGTTTCCTAATTTTCATTCCTGGTTAAGTCATAAATCATAAGTATGCAGTAGGTTTACATGTGAGATTTTTTCCGCCAGGGTTTAAAAAACCTAACCAAGCCTGCTCGAGAGCTCATTATGCAGCTGCAAAAGATTGATGGTGATAACTACCCTGAGGTATGAGGTTTTGCATAAAGAGAGAGAGGAAGTGTGCAAATTTGTTCCTTTTTCTTATAACTTTACCTAAAGGAGTTAACTCTGCAGACTCTCGAGAGGATGTTTGTTATCAATGCTGGTCCTGGTTTTAAGCTACTCTGGAACACAGTCAAGTCTTTCCTTGATCCTGATACAGTGTCCAAGATTCATGTGAGTCATGTTTTAGTTTTAGATTTCAGACATGGAATGTCCACGGTTCCAGTGAACAGAATTAGAATCAGCTGATTTTCTGGCTTTTCATTGCAGGTTCTTGGTTACAAGTACCAGAGCAAATTACTTGAAATAGTAGACCCAAGGTATAAAAACTGCTTATGATAATAATTTGCTATCTGACCACGTCTATCTCGAGCCATATCAGCGCCTGAACTACCATAATTTGCATTTGTTCAGTCAATTACCCGATTTTTTGGGCGGTACTTGTACTTGTGCTGATGAGGGAGGTTGCTTAAGATCAGGAAAGGGACCATGGAAAGACCCCGACACCCTTAAGGTTTTCATTTTTTATGACTTAACTAAAAACATGTATTTGATTTGCTTCATCTGTGTGATTGACGTGATTCCTTGCCTTTCACCTAGATGGTTGTAAATGGGGATGCATCAAATACCAGACAAGTATTAACAATTTTGGATAGTAACGGAAAGGTGATTGCTCGAGAAAAGCAATGTTATTCATCGGTATGACTCAGACTTACCCTAGATTTATGCCATGCCTCTCTTTGATTGTCTGACGCATTTTTACTTGCTTTCTTTTCATTTCAAGGCAGATGAAGATGAAGACGAGTGATACTTCCGCTGGTGAGTCAGGGTCTGAAGTTGAAGATATCTTCTCTCCAAATAAAACTAATAAGAAGCAGTTGCTTCCACGGTTGACACCAGTCCGTGAAGAAGTAAGTAATGCTCTGGGAGATTATAGTGGTGCAGGCTTCTCTGCTTCGAGGGCACAAGTTCATTCACTTGATGTTCTGTGTACAGGCGAGAGATGGTGGCAAGGCGAGCACCGCTGTTGGTATCACTGAGTTCGATGAATATGTGCCCATGGTAGACAAGACTGTAGATTCAGAATGCGAGAGACAATTGTCTTCATCAGAACAAGGTAACTCCAAAGGTGATCTCACATCAGGTTGATGCTCTGTATTTCTGGCATTATATTGCAGACCCTTTTAGAAACAAGGTTGTGATTGTTTCAGCATTGTATTCCAAGCAAATTGGGTTTCAAGAGGTTGTGATGAATTATTATAATATTGCAGACATATCATCGGCAGCTGAAAGGAGAGAGAAAGGTCCAGGAATCTTGGATCGAATCTGGGTTGTGCTCGTCGCGTTATTCATAACTCTCCTTGCTTTCCTTCATTTCCCGACATATCCATCGAAGAAGAGTGGCGGCTTTGTGTCCGATGCTGAATCTTCAGTTCCTACCCTCGTGTCAGCAGTGGGGAGAAAGCTGGCTGAACTCGAGCAGAAGGTCGAAATACTGCAGTCGAAACCTCTTCAAATGCCGTGCGAGAAAGAGGAGCTGTTGAATGCTGCTGTCTGTCGGGTGGATGGACTTGAAGCAGAGCTGATCGCTACGAAAAAGGTGATTAGATCCTCTAAATCTTCTTCCCTTATAAAAAGCGACAGATAGAAAGGTCCAATTATGTTAACTTAGTGAGCTCAACCTGCTGCTCTGCCCTTCTTTGGCAGGCTTTGCATGAAGCTCTAATCAAGCAAGACGAACTTCTCGCCTACGTCGATAATCTCGAACAAGCCAAGTTCAAGGTAATGTTCCGGGATCAAACACTCTGAACAAATTCATCTAGTTAATAGACGTTTCCACTTACAGACTCGAATCGTTTTATTTTTTGTGCAACAGAGGAGGAAGTTTTGCTTTTGAAGAGGAAGAGAAATCATTGTACAGAAGGAAGAGAGCCGCAATCACACAAATTACAGTTACCACACGTATCATATATTCACCATTATGTAAAAGAGAATCCGCTGAGTGTAATAAACTTTGTAAACAACATTGCCCTTTTAGAGCCTTCTTTTCTCACTAAAAAAATGCTCCTCCCAAGATCCTGAATGAAAGAAATCCAAAATTTGGTCTCTACTCTCTACAACCTGAACAAGAACAGAGTATTCACCACCATTCACAATCGCCGAGTCTCTACTCGTAACCATTATACTGGAAGGTATTCCAAGTGTTCTTCCTCTCCACAGATCGTTCTTCAGGAAAAAGCAATCCATTCTCCTCCACCGCCGCCGGCGATCTGGTCCCTTCCTTGCTCCTCAGCAGCTTCACCACGCCGTGCAGGGCGACGTCGACATTCTTGCTCTTCAGCAGCTCCCCTGCAACCTCCGCCGGAGTAGCCTCCACCTTCCCCAACAGCTCCTTGATCTCGCCGAACAGCTCGTGCTCCGTCTCCTCGAGGTAATTGTACGCCAGTGTCTTGAACGCAGTGAACGTGCAGTACGACATGTTCACCTGAACGTCGACCCTCCCCGGCCGCAGCAACGCCGGATCCAGCTCCTCCTTGTGGTTCGTCGTGAACACGAGTATCTTCTCTTCCACGCACGACGACCACAGCCCGTCCACGAAGTTCAGCAGCCCCGCCATCGAAATCTGCAAAGCCACCAGCGCAGCAACAATGTCGCTTAGGGAATTGCAGGCGGAAATTGGAAATTAGGTTTTTGAAAATCTCTGTTTGGTTAATTTACCTTATCGTCGTTCTTCTTTGACGCCAATGCGCGATCGAAGTCTTCCATTACGAGAATAGATCTATTGCCGGCGCCGATGAGGAGCTTGTGGAGGTGGGAATCGCCGTAGACTTCCTTGAAATTGAGGTCGTAGACGTCGAACTTGAGGTAATTCGCCATGGCGGCGACCAAGCTCGATTTCCCCGTACCGGGAGGTCCGTACAGCAGGTAACCGCGCTTCCACGCTTTTCCGACCTTCCTGTAGAAATCCTTCCGCTCGATGAACGCATCAAGATCGGCGATCAGCGCCTTCTTGAGCCCGGGATCCATGGCGACCGTCTCGAACGTGGCCGGATGGTGGAAGTTGACGGCGCCCCAGTGCTCGTTATCCCCTCTGTAGTCGATGGCGTAGAGCTTCACCGTCTTCTTCACCTCCCTGATCGATTTCGCCGCCGCGAGAATGTGGGGGAGGTAGGAGCCAAGAACCAGCTCCCGGTGCTTCTTGTGGAAGGTGAGCTCGAAGAAGCGGATCTCCGACGGCTGAAGCCCGACGGTGAATCCGCTGGTGCTGTAGGCCGGGGTGAAGTTAGGGTTGGAAGAGAGGCTCCACTTCATCTTCGCTCCGCCGAAGGAATCGACGAGCTCCTGGTGCTGGTCGACGGTGACGTCGAGGTCCTCCTCCTTCTCCGGCTTCAGGACTTTCACCCTGGCGGTGGACTGCGAGAGCTTGTGGGCGAGGTAGAGGTTGGCGGCGTGGAACATCTGGTTGGCGGTGAGGCCGTCGGACTCGTCGATGACGACGGTGAGGTTGTTGGAGATGACGGTGGTGAGGCGGCGGATGCGGGAGGAGAGGTAGCCGGGGACGAGGTCGCGGAGGAGCAGGGCGGCGGCGGCGAAGGACATTGCCGTGGAGAGGAGGAGATGCTTCTCCGGCAGCGGAGGGAGGTGGAGGGACGGCAGAGGGTCAGGTAGGGACCACATTTTTCTCGCGATGTCTCTTGGTGTGAGAGAGAGAAAACGGTTACTGGGATTTCATCAGAGATTTTTTGGACTCTTCTGGAGAGACAGAGAGAAACGGTACGTGGAGCACAGTGTGGGAGAACAGCAAGGTTGTCAAACCGGTTTATGCCAGTGTGCCGGTTTAGCAAGTGGAATGGTTCAACCGGTGGCACATACCGGTTTGTGCCGGTTCATGCCGGTCAATATTACAAATAAAATTATAAATACTCATATTTAAACATGACATTTAACGTCAATACCTAAACATTTATACTTGAATCCAACAAATAACATCAATATTTAACTTTTATACTCATAAAATAAATAATAAAATAATTTTTATCAATTAAATTCTCTAAAATAAGATCATTTTATTTAGAGATTCGTATATCGATCATGCCGGTCATACCGGTGGTGTCACGCCGGTTTTATGACCGGTACCGGTTGAACCCGGTATAACCGGTGGCACGCCGGCCGGCGTGACAACTATGGAGAACAGAGGACGGATCAAGCTCTACAATTTCCCGCTTCAGGATTACAAGGAAACGTCTTTTTTTTTTTGGCTCAATTTTTTTCGAAATTAACCAGCGGGCTGGGCCTATCTAAAAATGTATTGGGCTTCAACCTCGCGAGCTGCCTAGAGTCCGTGGACGGAATGGACGCAGAAACAGTTACGGTCGTCATCAAGCCTAACTCATTAGAAGCTTTTGATCAGAGTTCTGCTGGAGCTCGGCTCAACAAAACCGAAAACTTCCTCCATTTTTGGCAGAACATTGAACCATATATCCGATTACAAACACGACTGATTACTTAGTAGGTCTTCAAAATAACAACTTTGCCTCTCATGTCAACTTACAATCATGGAAATCAACTGACAGCGGAACCCAAAAACTCACATATGCAAAGGTGTTTTTGGAGACCACTGAAAATACAAGATAAGCAAAAAAATATCTTCAAGGCAACGGCCCATATGCCACTAATATGCTGATTCCATAACAAAACAACTACTTAATATACTGATTCATTAAGTGGCAAACTGCAGAGAGTCTAAGCCCCACCATTAATAGGCTTACGCTGGCCACAAATCAATTGTACAGCCCACTAATATGTAAAAAGATGGAGGAATACAGTTACTGGGAGAACAGAGGTAAGACAGGAATTTGCTACTACACTCTTCTTAGTACTACAACCCCCAAACAATTTACACTCGAGAAAATAGGCAAAAGAGAAAGAAAGAAGGGCTCAAGAATTCGATCCAAGGTAAAAAAAAAAGGAACACCAAGAGAGACTAACCAAAACATCACTAGGACAAGTCAACTTCAATAACATCCTCTTTCTTGATCAGAGCCTACAAAGAGAAGAAGTAAAGTTAAACCAAATAATCTATAGGAATAAAGTGGATATGGAAAACACAGTAACAAGTTACCTTAACATTCTTTTTCGAAACATAATAGTATCTTAACCACTCTCAAGAACAAAGTAATGCTTGAACTGTTTTTTCCCCCAATGATGCACGGTTTGGATCAATCACTCTTCCCCCGTCACTAAAAGTCACTTCCGGCGCAACTGAGGTTAGAGGAATTACCAAAACATCACAAGTCATCGTTGATAAAACCTTATACCTCATACGTTGCTCCTTCCACCACACAATAACATTAAGGCCACAATACTCGGATCAATATAAAGACAATCCTCAAGATATACACCATGGTTGTAACACAATCGACATTTCGAATAAGTGAGTCAAACCTTGCCCTTTCCATTCTCTTCCTCCCAGCCCGAAGAAGAAGAGGAAGAGGAGGAAGAGGGAATTGTGTCACTTTCATCTTCAAATAAGTTCACCATGTTCTTCCCTTTGTAGTCTTCAACATACTCATGAAAGAGTTTGTAAAGCTTGTCACAAACTAGTGCAATCAGCTCCTTCACAGCTTCAGCTCCATTGTGAAGGTCAGGAAAATACATCTGAAGCATCTTAAACTTGTTTCTTGGGTCCATAATAGCAGCAATCGAAATTATCACCCAATACTTCTCAAATTTGACCAGCATATCACAAGCCATAGATTGCATATCTTCATTCTCCAACATTAACGTCTTATCCAGCAACTTCTTAATGTACCAAAATTCAGGAAGAAAAAATTTAGCAGTTGGATACTCACTTCCAGAAATATATTCAGTGACAAACCTGCAAAACCATATTCCACTGTTCCTCATAAGGCAACCAATCATATGATGCATCTCTTGTAGCATACCAAGAAAACACAACTTTCAAACCACAGACAGTAGAAATTATGTGATGTGTAGAATTTCCTCCAGCAGTACAGTCTAAAATAAGCTTCTTTGCAGACAACTTCAATTGTTTTACAATGTCCAGAAACAAAGTTGATTCGACTCTCTGATGCAGCAATATACTTAACACTTCGTCTACCATTCTCAATTTTTGGAGCAATCTTCTCAAGTCCACATTGTACCAAAATGTTAATTATATGAGCACATCAAACGGCCACATCGTTGTACAACACATTATCAACTGTGATTGTCCATACTTTTTCCTCAACATCCCAATCAGCCAAACACTTATGCAATATATCAGCTGTAGCAACTCCACTACGAGGTGACGGAACATCACAAAAATTTAGGTTGCGCTTCTGAAGCGTGAAATCCTTATTAATGAAGTGGCATGTAACAACCATATATCCCACCTTTTGATCAAATAGCCACAAACCAGTAGTCAAACTCATCTTACTCACACCTTGAAAAAGTGTTTTTAACTTCGCTTTGCGGATGTCAAATGTTTAGAAAATATCCATCTGAACAGTTGCCCTAAAAAATTTTAGATAGTGTGGACTGATGGTATTCAGCAACAACTCATACTTGAATTGCTTTTAACTTTCATGCACTATGAAGCAATGTGACATGATCTCACGCACCTTTGATTGCTCATGTTTGAAATTCTGGACAGAGGCTTAGTTGTTGTTTCCCTTGACCAAGGAGGATATTGGGATTCTTTGGACATGATGATAACATATGTCTTCTTAGTGTTGATGTAACCCTTGATGGATCTGCTTTGTATGTCTTCTTGCAATTTATGCATGCATGCTGCTTGCAGCCTGCCGTATGCATAATCTTGAAGCCATTCCGAAGAGTAGAAGTTCTCTTCCTCACATTTCTTGAATATAGGGTTACTTTCTCATAAGTTTCTTTCTGATCAGATGCTAGATTTTGGGTTGCATTCTTGGGATTTCCTACATCCACTCTTGCTCTTGTGGTAGAATCATTTGTAGGAGTAGAAGCAGAGTTGTCCATTGAAGGAGTTGGATTTGAGGACATTGCTTCAGACATTCTGTGACAAAACACCAACAATTGTTCAGTACATACAACAGTCCAAAGCTGTTTCACATCACACACCATGTCACAGATTTTCGTGTTAACTGCATTGGTTTCATGTACAAGAGGGAACTTCCATAAATCATGAAGTTGTTCCCTCAAACCTCTGAATTGTGAAATAAAAGCATTAGTGCATTACAATAATGGTTAACAGAACAGGCTTAGTAGTATATGTTCTGCTTAATATACACATCATTTCTTACAGTTCCATTGATGCTCAATTTGCAGCTCCACGTACCTTTGTGCTAGCAGGAACGCATTTCCTATGATCTCCTCCTGCCACCTGACTATAGCACTTCACTATCTTCTGGTCTAATTCATAGTAGTCTTCTATCGTCTTCAAACGTTTCAAATCCAAATCAATGAAATTCACCTACACAGGAGTCATCAGAAAAGAAAATTACAAAGCATGCAACACTTAAACATATGTCAAACCGAAATATGCCAACAACGTACTTTGTAGGTAAATTTCTGATTAGTTGAAGGCATATGAACAGAACTATACTGAGATCCAGCATCTACATCATCTGTTGGCACAAAACTAATCATCATACTGCAGTCTTTAGCAGTGGCAGCTATCAAATAATTCTTCACAATCTTCAAGCTCTCATCCATGGGAATCGAGTGCAAGGATTTACAAGCATGTAGAGCTTTTGCTTCATTCAAATTCATGCATACTGTACAAGGTCTGGATAGAAAATTGTAATAAGCATGAATTGCTCCTTCAATATCTAAATGGTCAAGTTTTTGAACGTCGAGAAGTTGATCAAGAACTCGAGAGTGATGGACTGTCTCAGCAATAAGCTGCATAAAGCTTGCAGTTCTTGATCCTTTGGTTGGCTGTATGACACCCTTCAGGTCATCTTCAAAGGATTGTTTGGTAATGGTGTTAGTTTTGCTTGTGCCACCACCCAAGCCACCGAGTATAAGAGAACCGTTCAAGAATACACGAAAATTGTTCTGAGGAGTGGCAAATAGATCCTCAATGGCTTTGTGTATTCTTTCCTTGGAACCTGAAAATAGATCCAGCGGATTGTACTTGCTAATCTCTGATATCTGTGATATGCAGCATTGTAGTCAACAAAACAGTATTGCACTAGAACAGTCGTCAAGTAAGATTCTGATATCGTCAATCAATTGTCACACTTTTCCACTGCCGTAAGCTTGAAAGTGATTAGTGCTTACATCTTTGTTGTTTAGCTTCAGGGCTTGATGCATTCTAAACCGTGTGGTGTACTTCTTAACAGCATTCTCTTCAGCAATAAAGCTTGACAATGGCAGGAACCCACATTTTGGCTACTTGATTCAACGGGGAAAACAAACTCGTAAAGCCCAGAGAGAATCAGTATCCTCATACATGTAAAAGCAAACAGAAATAGAGGCGATGGAAGATAAAAATATATCATAACCAAGATTGAAAATACCTTTATCTCAACTGATATACACGGTCTCCTCTTAGAACTACCTGCATTAGACCTAGTGTAATTAATTTCCAAAGTGAGTAACATTAACCAACTTGATTCAATTGTTGTCTAATCTCTTTGATTATCTGCTGGTAGAAATTGTAAGCTTATATAGATTTAAGAAGTTATAGTCAATAAACCCACTTTTCTGCTAAGATCATATGCAACATGAACCTGGGATTGTTTGGAAGACTCAGTACACACATGAATAAGAAAACGGCAATTACCATGAGGAAAAACGGTGTGATCAGACATAATCACCACATAATCACGTTCTACATCCACCTTGGCAGCATCAACTCGCAAAGATGGTCGGTGACGGGTCACTTTCTCTTCGATGCACTTGAGAAATTCTCCAGACACTCTAACAAGCACCTACCATTAACACAAATGGAGTCCATTTCAATGATCTTTGGCTAACCAAATCACAATCCAAAAGGCTAAAAAAAGATACCCCTGAAATCCTAATATTGAGCATTGATTCACAGAAAGCAGACATTAGAGAATTGAAAGTAGTAGTACCCCAGCATCAACATACTTGGGACCCAAGAGAGGACCCATAACTAGCTCAGTAAAAAACCGCTCAACAGCATCTTTGTTCTGAGATGCAACCATCTCCTTCGCTTCTTTCCACAACAGACGTTCTTGCTCCGTCAACACCGGCTGATTTTGGACGACCGCCGACGGCGCATTTCTTCCTACTTTAGGTATCCTCATCACTTTTCCGATCTACCAAAACAGGAACGAAAAATCAAACCACAGAGAGTAGGAATGGGAGGTTAAGACACAGTCTAAAAGGGTACTGAACAGTGAAAGCTTCATCATACGAAAGCAGGGGACGATCCGGAGTAAGCGAGGACGAGATTAGCAGCGCCTTCGCCTCTGTAAACCCAATCATCTGCGTCTTTCTTCTCCAGCTTCACCTCCATATCCAGTCAAATGCCAGCTCCTGCGAATTCATACCCACCGCCGAGTTCAGAAACTCAAAATTCCGATGAGGAACGAGAAGCGATCGGAATGAAGAAAAATGGAGGGAGGAGGCAAGGAATTAATCGCATTACTTGATCGGAGAAACGAGGATTCCGGTAAACTAGCAAGCAGCTGCGACGGAATCAACTGCGGCGGCACTCTCTCCGGCTGGGAGAAATCCGACGTGGTTTACCTATCGAGCCTTCAGAGAGCGTTTTTTTCATCGAGCTTTGAGATTCAGAGAGCTGAGAAATTACAGAGAGAAACCTGAAGAATATTATTTCTCGGCCCAAGACACCAGACTGGGCTGGGCCGCCGTTACATCGCTTCTCATAATATTATTTGACATGTAGGCCCGCAATATGAGTTCTTTTCAACATCATAATTCTCGGGCTTACAGTACAGACTGGGCCCGCAAACTCACCGCGTCTCAAAGTGTAATTACATGCAGGCCACGCCACGTCGCCACGATATGAGTTATGATAAATTAATGGTCACTCAAATTACCTTCTTATTCGGGAGTCCGGATCTGGTGACTAAGGGGGGGTGCTTAGTCACTTGGCTAAGCCCCCCTCAGCCCTTGGATCAATCTAATGGTGTAGAAAATGGAAGGACTATTTTATTAATAAGAAGGGCAATTCAGGAATTAGGAAAAATTCAAAAAAAAAAAAAATTTCCACCTTCTCTTCTGCGCTGCCAGCCACGGGATGAAGAGGCGACGATGGAAAAGAGGCGACCGGCGGCGACGATGGAGAGAGAGAAAGGAGACCTCGACCACGACGGCGACGGCGACGGCGACGATGGAAAGAGGGAAAGGAGATCGCGACGGAGGCGAAGGCAATGGCGGAGAGAGAGCGTCGGCGACAATGGAGGAGAGAGAGGCGGCGCGACGATGGAGGAGAGAGAGGCGGCGCGACGATGGAGGAGAGAGAGGCGGCGCGACGATGGAGAGAGAGAGAGAGGTTGCGATGGCAGTAGATTGAATCAGCGGTGGAGAGAGAGTCGACGGCGGCGGCAGCGGTGGAGAGAGAGTCGTCTGAAGGAAGAACAGTGATTTGTATAGTTTGTATGTTTTGTAACATTAGTTTGTATTGTTAGTATTTTTGTACAAAATGTCAGTATGGTTTGTATGTTTTTCTTTTGACAGTTTGTACTCATAGTATGTTTTTCTTTGACAGTTTGTACTCTTAGTATGTTTTTCTTTGACAGTTTGTATTCTTAGTATGTTTTTCTTTGACAGTTTGTATTCTTAGTATGTTTTGCTTGTATTCTTAGTATGTTTCGCTTTGTATTGTAAGTACTAATAATTTGTATACTTTATATGTATTGATTTGTGATGCAAAAAACATTACAAACATGGTTGACAAAAATGTGGACAAAAATAACAAACATTACAAACAGTACAAAAAAACAACAAACATTACAAACATTACAAAATAACAAACATTACAAACATTGCAAACAAACATTACAAACATTACAAACAAACATTACAAACAGTACAAAGCATACTACACGTACAGAATATCACTACTTACCATACAGATTGGTAAACTTGTATTACAAACAAATGAATACAAAGTATACAAATCATAACATAAAAGTATACAAACTTGAATAACAAAAATTACAAATACAAATCAATGAATAGAAAGTGTATAAATCATAACATAAAGTATACAAACTAGACAAACAACATTACTAACATTACAAACATTACAATGTATACAAACTAGACAAACAAACATTACTAACATTACAAACATTACAATGTATACAAAATAGTAATATAAACATTACAAACATCACGAACTCAAATACTGTTGTCGGAAAACCATCCACCACCGTCTCTGGTCGCCGGAAAATTGCTCCGCCGTCGCCGGAAAAGCTCTCTCTCTCTCTCTCTCTCTCTCTCTCTCTCTCTCTCTCTCTCTCTCTCTCTCTCAATGGCGCAGGTTGGGGAATTAATGGCGCCCCTCTCTCTGTGGACTGTGGTGGGAAATAATGGCGCCCAGACCAAGTTGCCGGCGGCGCAATTATTGGAACGGAGATGGGAGGCGACGGGAAGAGACGGACGGCTGGGTTAGTTTTTTTTATTTCTTTTATAATTAAAAATTAAAAATAACTATGCAATTACTACATTGCCCTTCATTAAATTGGATTAATAAGAGCTCTTGGATTTTAATGAGGTGCAATGGTGGAGATTTACTTAGCCATGTGACTAAGGGGGGTCCCCTTAGTCACCAGATCTTAGCCCCTTATTCGGGGAGCGGATACTATCACAACAGCTTTTTTATTGTTACTATAACAACATTATTCATTAAGGTTAATAGGGTAATTTAACATATAAAAAACTATTTAAACCATCTCCGCCGCCATCGCGAAGAGCAGCCGATAAGTTACTTTCGTCGAGATCGTAATCGTCAAAGAGCAGCCGATCTTCTTCCCAGTCGTCGTTGACGACACCTCTTCGACTACGGTTGGTTTGAGGACTGATTCCTGTGGTCGCGGTGGCTTCCTGCTCTTCTTGGTCGGAGCTTCCGCGAAGAGCTTCCTTCGACTTCCACGGAAAGGGCATGTCCCAAGTCGAAAACAAGAATGAGAAGTTGCGGTTCGAGAGAGTGTTCGACGGAATTGAGATTGACGGACGATGAGAAACTAGTGAAGCTAGCTACCATGGTGCTAGGGTTTAAACGAGAACAAAGCCAGACGTGGAATTCGGAGCAATTACAGAGGAAAGAAAACATCAATGGTGAACGATGGTGGGGAAGAAGAACTGAACAAGTTCAACACTCTGCTGCAGTCTTCTCTGCTCTGCATTCATTCACGTACCTACCTACCTTCATGGGCCATATTTATTTGTTACTGTAAATCACCACAGAACTACAGGGGCCATGTTTGTTTGTTACTGTAAATCACCATAATGGTTGCTCTGTTTTGTACTTCGGTTTGTTGCTGCCATGTTGATGTTTAACGGGATGCAGAGAATTAGGGCTTGGTGGCTGGGTTAGTTGTTTGCGACTGGACAATTAGAAAGGCAAAAGGTAGTGACAGTGGTAATTAAAAAGCAAATATGAGTTCTTAATGGTTTATATTTAAGTGTTTCTAAATTCTAATGTCTTTATGCTTCAAATGCATCCACATGTCAAATAGGTTTGACATCTAACCAAAAAATGCTACATGGTCGTTATATAGTAAGCCACATATTAGATTGGAATGAAATTAAAGTGCCTATTTTATTAGCATTTAGGAATAACATCATCATTAGTCTGCAATTAATCTTGATGTCCTAAAAAAAATATGTTTTATTTCGCTCGGTTGTACATGTATTATAAATATAGTTGTGTTTGGTGAATGGTAATAACTAATTAGTTGTTGCTAATTGTGATCATATGAAGTTTCATTCCAGAAAATTCAAAATTGTGAGATTTTTTTTAATTTTTGCTTTGAACGCCTAGGCGTGCCTATGCAACGCTTAAGCGGGCTAGGCGCTAGTCAAGAGCACACCGCTCGCCTTACGCCTAGTGCTTTTTTGAACCTTGTATGCAGTTATGCGTTTTTTTTAGATGCAGTTAGGAGTTATTGGTATGCAGACCACAAGTATTTTATAAGCACACCAGAAATCTCTTAACGCAAACCACAAATACGGTAAAGCAACCCACAAAAAGCATATAAAAAACCTTCTAAAACAAACCACAAGTGTTTTAAACGATACCAAAAATCTCACAAAGCATACCATAAATATTTCATAAGCACACCAGAAATCCTCTAATGCAAACCAAAAATACGGTAAAGCAAACCACAGAAAGCAAACCAGAAACGTCCTAATGCAGACCACAAATATATTAAAACAAACCAGAAACTCCGCAAAGCAAACCATAAAATTTTCGAAAGCACACCATAAACTTCTCAATGCAAACCAGAAACACAATAAAACAAACCGGAAACCTCATAATGCATACCACAAATATCCTAAAACAAACCACAAACCTCACAAAGCAAACCACAACATTTGCGAAAGCACACCAGAAACCTCATAATGCAAACCAAAAATGTCCTAATGCAGACCACAAATATATTAAAACAAACCAGAAACGTCCTGATGCAAACCACAAATGCCGTAAAGCAAACCATAAACCCAGCAAAGCAAACCACAAAAGTTTTTAAAGCACACCAGAAACTTCTTAATGCAAACCATAAACACGATAAAGCAAACCACAAAAGGCATACAAAAATATGAGAAACCAAACCATAAATCTCACAATGCAGACCATAACATCCGGTGGTCGTTGGCCGTTGACCGGTCAACGAAGACCATTGACCAAACTCCGATGACCGTCAGTGAGTAGATTCCGATGCCGATAGGCATATTCCGGCCCCGATGACAAGATTCCGACGCCGGTAAGCATATTCCGGCCACAAATAGCATATTCCGATGACCGGCGACCATTTTCCGGCGACCGGTGGCAGAATTCCGGCGACCAAATTTTTGGTCAGAAAATAAAAAAAATATTTTTTTATTTTTTATTTTTTTATCTAAATAGATTTTTCATAATGACAATTATACCCCTGCTTTGATTTTACACTAGGTCAACTCATCTAATAAAAAGTCATCACAATCCTAGCTTCCTATTGGTTGGGAACTAGTGTTGTTACAATAACAACACAATGGGTGTTGTTATAGTAACCGGTCCCTCTTATTCGCCACTAACTTTACAAATTGTTTCACCGTAGTCACCGATCGTCAGTCTCCGTTAACTCAGTTAGTTTTTTGATGACGTGGCAAACAGATCGCTGACTAGACCGTTAAGTTAATGATATGTTAATTTTAAAAAATTTAAAAAAAAAATTTTAAAAAGACAAAGGACTGGGCCCACCTCCCCCTTCCACCTTCTACCTTTATCTCTCTTCCCCGGCGTCAACCTTCCGCCGCTGCAACTAGCATTGGTTTTGTTTAATTCCTTTCTTTCTTCCCTTCCCATCCCAGCCCCCTTCAATTTCATTTGATGCCTACCTACCCAAGAACACCCACCCCAGAGACTTATCCTCCTACCCACCGCAATTCCGTCCTTGTAAGTTCTCTCTTTCGGCAATCTCTGTCGATCCTTTCCCTATGAAAATGAAGGCGGTCTCCGTTGATCAATTCTCTAGTCGCATCAGCTTCTTCCACTATAAGATTGATTCTTGTGGGGTGAATTGAAGAGGAGAAGACATGGTTTGAAGGGCCGGCTTAGGAAGGAG